GGTAAGGGGTGTTTGTTGACAGCTCGTGTTGTTGCGTGTATGGTGCAGAGGCAGGGCGTAAATCTGACGCGTGTGATGGTGTGGTGGGTTGCAAGGGCTTTAGGCAAGACTCTTGCGGCGATGGCTGGGTCAAATGCTCCTGGAGTGTCGTGTGCGCAGATTTTTTTGAAGGTTCGCTGGCCGTTTTTTTTTTTGTTATGGTGTAGTATGTTTTAACCTCGATTTCTTGATGATGTTATTTTTTTTTGTTTTTGTGGGAGTTATTTTGTGGGGTATTTTGAGAGATCTTTGTGTTTTGAGGTATATTGAGTTTTCGCCTTTTATGTTTATATCTGCATTGTCGGTCTGAATTTGTTTCATTTAAGATGTTTGGTTTTTTAATTTCATTGCATCTCTGGGACTTTTTTTTGTTTTTTGTGTATATATTATGGATGATCTTCTTTTTGCTACTTGTGGTATAGTATTTGACCGGCTGGATGTGTTCTATCCGCTAAGTGTTCGTGCGGTAATGATCATGCTGGGGTAATAGTGGGTGGTCGTTAGGGGCGAAGTGCGGCAGGACGTTTGTCAGTCTGGTGGTCTCTCGTCACGATGAGCAGCGAATTGTACGCCGTAATGGTGTGGTTTATTGGCGGGTGTCTTGCGGGTGGTTTGGTATCGTGCGTTGGGTGTCATTAGATGTCGCGTGTGGTGCGGGATTGAGGGTGTGGAGGGGCAGTGTTAGGGATGTTCCTCGTCGCGGCCAGTATATATATCGCAGCAGCACCGCGAAATATCGCATAGCTCCCGTCGTCTGGGCCCACCAAGTAGAAGGTGTGGCGGGCGGTGCGTTGGGGCAGGTGAGCAGACCAATCCGGCCTGATCCTTATTCGACATTAATTTTTTGAGAAGTCGGGTTGGTGGGTGGGGGAGGGGATGCTGGGGTTGAGCATAGAAACTAGTTTCCTTATGGCGAGGTGATGGTAAGCTATTAGGGGGCGCCGTGGCGTTTCGAAACTGAGATGGTGTCTGACGGCGCTGTGGCTAGGTGGAGTAGCGGGAGGATGAGGCTAGCTAAGCATAGGAAGAGCTGGATGGCTGGTTGGAAGCGAGTCGTGTCTGAGTGTGAGACATTCTCTGCTGCAGACAGTGCTTCATGGGGGTGTGAGCGGGGCTGGTGGAGGAGTGGGTTGTCGGAGGCGGATTTCGGCAGTCGTTTGTTATTCAGCGGATTTGTTATGGGGAAACTCGTGAAGTGTAGACTCGCGCGTGTCCCGTGAGAAATGGCGCTCTGTGCCAGCCAGTTGTGTGGAACACATCGCCGCCAGGGGTTGTGTGCCAAGCCGCGAGGAGGTGAGCGGGTGTGTTCGGCGTCCTTTTCACTGCTCTTTGGTTCTCAGGGTATGATCGAACGTAAGCAGGAGGGTTCTATTTTGGCGTCACCAGTCAGCAGTGACGCGTGGGAAAGCTGAGAACTAGGTTGGTTGGCAAGTGGGTGTCTGTGGTGCTGTACGCGTGTGGTGGGAAAGAGGTGTACGGCAATCTTTGCAGCTGTGTACAGATGGCATGGTACCGTTATTTATTGAGAGCTCGGTAGAGGGGTGGGCGTGGGTAGGGCATTCATAGTAGGTGACGTGCGGAGTGTATCGATTTGGGAAGTATGTTTTGGAATTTTAGTTGTGTGCTGAGATTGAGGGGAGACGGTGGACAGTGGGGCGCGGCGGTTGAAGTTTGTTGTGCTATATCTGTTAGGAATATATGCACATGCGCGTAGTTGCGGCGGGGGGGGGAAGCTGACGTAGCTGTGGAAGTTACCGGAGGGTCGTCGAGGCCGTAGTGGCCCTGCACAGGGGGGACTTGTGGGCCGGCGTGCTAACGCGGCGCATTGGTACGGGCGCTGGTTAGCGGTATTCCTTTTAGCACGCAAACTTAGCGGCATGCGTATCTTGGACGGCACCGAGGTGTTTTGTTAAGCTCATCCTGAGGTTGTTGGAGTCCGATAAGGTTCTCGCAGCTACCGAGGGTGGCACGCGTGGCTCAGCCGGTAGACATTAGTCGCCGCGGGCTGGGGGGACGGGTGGAGGCCCACCCTGATGTCGCGTGTCTGTCGATCGCACTGTTGGGTGGGCTCATGGCTGGAAGGGTTGGGTGTAGAGGTTGTGGAAGGGAACTGTGGCGGGAGGGTCTGGGACGGTGGGAGGGTGTGCGTGCTCGGTTGAGCCATGGCAGAGGCTCGCAGTAAGCGCGAGCGTGTCTCGGTGCGGTGTTCCTGGTGCGTGGCAGTGGGTCCAGGGTCGTTTAAGCAGTGCTAAGGTAGGACAACCAGCTGTGATGCCGGCGCCGGAGAGGCGTCCCAGTGGGGGCAATGGCTCGTTAAGTACGTGCCTGGGGGAGTGGAGGCGCTGTGGCGCGGTGAGGATCGTCTAGGGCAGAGGAGGGCTGGACTGGTGAGCTAGAACTGTGAAGCTAGTTAATGCTGGTTGCTGCGAATAGAAGGTGTGAGATACGACCCAGGCAGACAGTTTGCTTGGTATGGAGCTGCAGAACATTATGACCACCAAGGAGCCCAGGTTTGCATAATGTTATGGGTGATTGGTGTATATTGGTTACAATACTGCCTTACTGCAGATATATCGGTTTCAGCATATGTTATACAATATGTGCCGATATGAAAACTTTTTCATCGCGTTTTTCATATTTCAATCTATTTGTAATAGATTGTGACTTTTCCCCAGTAATAGTTTGCTTGATGGAAATGACACAAATTTGAAGTCCTTTTAAAAGCCTTAAATATTAGGGGCTTTTGAAAAACTGGCTGGAGCCCCAGAAGCCACCCATCTGCTCCTCCCCTGCACTCTGCTTTGAAGTACTGAGGCAGTATGCCAAAATCAAAATAGTGTTTTGGTGACAGTAAATCCAGAAACTAAATATGATTTAAGTAATAGGATAAAAGGTAAATTCAGAACTCCAGTGTGTCAATTTCAAAAAAGACGTTAAGTGGCAACAAGCTCACTGAAGGTTATGAAAAGTCCTGTAAATGTAGTTAAATGATGTTTGATTAAGATTTAAATGAGCTGCAGAGCCAAGTAGAGTTGACACTGAATAATTCAAATATCAAACATTGTTGTATATATACTCCATTGTTACTCTTTATTACAGAAATGAAGCACAAAAACTGTAGAAAAACCTAAACACAAAACAGCTGCAAGTCTCCAAAAGCAACAATAATGCAACCAATGCTGATACAAATATTCATTATTGCAGTGAGAGCACAGGAATACTAAAAAGATAAAACCTTTGTTTACTAACAAAATTGGTACAAAATCGAGGATACAAACACTTCCATATACACAATTCTAATCATTTCTGTGAAACTTTCAGAAAGCTTTTATCACAAGAAATTAAGAGCACTATTATGAATACAGAATTTCTCCAAAGAATTTAACATCACAATGCAGCTCGCGTTGCTCATTTAGTGGAAAACAAATTCCCATAGTTTGTGTGGAGCACTCTTTGAATGCAACATCTCCCAAATAGTAGCGATCATAATAATTTATGACAAAGTTCTAATCCATCAAGCCAAAGCAGAAGTATATACTTGTACAAGAATACAATTGTAAAACAACTGGAATACAATCAAAACACAGTCTTTTAATAATAAATCTTTAGGAAGCAGGAACACTCACCGTTCATAGAATAAAAGATTTGCTTTCTCATGCCTCCCTCTTCTCGACTTTACCACCTTGAAAAGCCTGAGTCATAAGTCATTTGAAACTCTCTTGTGCTTTTATGTAAAATAATATTGACAAAATATTTTTCAAGTTGCATAAGGCCATCAAAGCATCGTAAAGCTTGGTTAATTACCAAATGTGTTTAAATGCAAAAATCTATCAGTATGAGTATTTACATAACACTGGTGTTGCACTGGGGTGGCGGACTTAAGTGATTCAGACACTGTGACCATGTCTAATATACACAAATTTGTTTTATATTTTTCATATTCATTATTTGAATAGAACCATAAATTGCATTACTAAGCTGCAGTGTGCTTTGCTTGCTATAAATATTTCAGATTGATTTCTAGCAGCTGATGTAATGAGCCAAATACTTGAATGATGTTATCTAGCATTTAGGATACTATCAAACCGACCCAGCCCATTATTTTCACTGTCAGTGCCCCCATTTTTACAACTAAGCTGGTCTGAGTATCTTTTACAAAGTGTGTTTACAGTAACATTTAGAAATGTTTTAGTCATATACCTGTGGAAAAAACCCCACACAGATTTCAAATCTTATGACTGATGATTGCACTGTCTCGTTCATTTGTACACGCATAACAACATTCACTGGGCTAGTAATTCAATTATAAATTACTGAATGAAGACCGTAAGCAATCGAGGTCTGCATACTGAAATGCTATGTCTATAACAACATGTATGAGATGTGATTGATGTACAGTATGTGATATAACTTAATTATACTGAGGGTCTTAATTTAATCAGCCCATTCCACAAACAAAGGCAACAAGAAACTCAAATATGAGAACAAATGCAAAAGAATGCTAAGAAACAAAACAGAAACTATTGGGCCTATTTATCATTTCTACTTCCTCAGCCTAAAACCTCAGTTAGTGAAAGGATCCGAGCAAACATTGTGTACTATGTCCCCTATAACAGAATCCAACTGTTAAACAAAGTGCATATTGAATACATTGTTGAGGCCACAAATATTATCTTAAGGGATGTAACTCACATCAAGAGATAGATCTGATACAAAAGCAAAAGCACTACTATTCTTCACCTGCAGCCTCCAGAAATTTAAAGCACTTTTTCCACACTCTGAGAAAACAATGTACATAGGTTGTACTTCATTGCACCTGCAAATCAAAAGGGGTACATCTGAAGTAATGTGGTGCAACTCTGTACCTTGTTTTCTCAAAACACCTAGATAGATAAATACAAGCAGACAACTAAAAGTAGTTTAAAATGTCATTTTGAAAAGGAAAATAAACCATTTAGAATCATCTCGTCTCACAGAGGAATCTAGCACTTGATTGCACATTCACGTTTACACCTCTAATGAACATGGCCACTTTAATATATGACATTGGAGGCAAGCAAATAAGCTATACATTCAAAGTCTTCCTTTTGTAGGCTGAGGTGTGTTTATTCTAATATTAAGTATAGTCTCTCATGAGAAATGCACTACTGCAACTTGTCTGATGCTTACATGTGGCTATGACTCTGCTCATGGCTCCAGAGACTAAAGGCTGTCTTGAAGGTCCTGTGACAGAGTTTACACATGTACTGCCTCTTAAACGTCAGGGCAGAGAGAGACGGTGCATGGTAAAAGAGTGTGTCTGATTCCTGAGGGCCACCTGGGTTCTCCATGCTGTTGGACCTGGACAGAGGGCTGTGGCTGCTGGATTGCCGCTCTAGTTCAGGCCTCTTCGTCTTGCTTACCGATGAGCTACAGGGCTCCGGGCTGCTGGACTCCTCCGCCATTGCTGCAGCGACTGGCGCCGTCTGGGTGGATTTGAGCACGGAGGCCTGTGGGGAGGGACGTTCAGAGTTTTGAGGGGTCGTGGGAGGGGAGGGAGACAGAGGTGAGGGGTGTCTGTCGATCTCTTTGGCTCCAGGTTCGTTAGCAGTTGACATGTGGGACTGGAAGTGGCTCCAAAGGCGGAAGTTGGTCCTGAAGGCTTTGTTGCAGATGTGACAGATGAACGGTTTGATGTGGCATAGCAGCTCCTGGTGGCGCTCCAGGTCTTTGCGAGAGCTGAAAAGGTTTCCGCATTTCTCACATGGCCACACGCCGGCTTCCTCAGGCCCAGTTTTGGCAGTCTCTGTGTTTTCCCTCTCACTCACAGCCTCTTCTAATGGCTCCTCCTTCACTACCAGCTTGCCATGGTGGCCCATGCTCAGGTCCTCAGGCACATAGGATGAGGAGTCTTCTGAATCATACATGGGTGGACCTGAGGAGTCACTGTAACTTATGTTTTCCCTTGAGCTCCCAGTTGCTAGAGGCTCATCACTGTAATGCTCCTCTCTGAGCATTTCAGACTCCTCTTCGTTGATCTCTTGCTGCTTTAGGTGGTCTTTAACAGTCATCATGTTTTGGTTGTGGACCTCCACCTGGTGGCGCCAGATGCTGAAGGAGGACTTGAATGTCCGCATGCATTCCAGGCACGTCAGTTTCTTGTACTTACAGTGTGCCTCGTGGTCTTTCTTGACTGTTGGACTTGAGAAGCGGAGGCCACAGTAGGGGCATACGGTCGCATGTCGACATCCCCTCTCATGGTCGCCTTGTTCAAAGAGTGAAGACAGCTTCATGTTACAGAGTTTACAGGAATAAACACCAGCATCAGTGTCCTTCTGTTGAATGATCTCATCCTGTTCCTGGTAGAGGATGCTCTCGTTCGCTGTCTCCTGCTCAGATTTTTCAGCAGGATGTGTCCTTAAATGCTGTCTGTACTGAGATTGAAACACAAATACTTTCCCACAGTAAGGACATATGAAGCTCGGCCTTGATCTCTTTTTGGTGAGCGCAGGAGATTGCAAGCCCTGTTTATTCCTCTTTAACTTCCAAAGCAAGGCTTTCTTTATTTCCCTCTCACGCACAATATCTATCAACTTCTTTTGAAATTTCTCATCCAGTACAGAGGAGCTGGATGATGAGGCTGGGTTTTGTACTACACCATGCTGAGTTTGGCAGTGAGTCCACACTTTGAAGTTGGTATGGAAGCGCTTGTGGCAGATGTCACAAGCATACGGCTTTTCGGGATTGTGATACATATTTACATGGCGATGTAGTCCAGCACTGGATCTGAAAACTTTTAAACAGTTCCAGCATTTGAAAATCTTGTTCTGGGGCGGCTCCTCACTGTTCTCATTTGAGTCGCTGCTGGCACTCTGAGGTACTGTTTTTGACATGTTCTCATCAAGTGAGAGGGTATGTTCCTTAAATAGTTTGCTCTTCTTGAATGGGTACCTTCTGTTGTCTGGCCTGTCCTTTCTTTTCCCAAAAGAATTGAAGTCTGGCCTGGAACCTTGGTCATAATTTGTTTGCAAGTCTTTAAGATTGACTGGCAATGAATCTCCAACTGTGATTCGAATAATGTCCATGGGGTCAGCGAGTGGACTGCTGGGCTCAGCTTTCACGCTGACTTCTCTTTCTACCTGAGTTTCTTCATCATACCTGCTGGGGTACTTTGACCTGAGAACCAGGGGAGATGTTCTTTTTGAATTGCCATTGTGAGCAGATGTTTCTGGCCCGGAGGCTTTTGATACTATTTTAACAACTGACTGCTCACGATTTTGTAGTTCCTTGAGCTCCAGTGTGGGTGAGAAGACTGGAACGGGGCTGTCCATGGATAGTGATCTTCGAAGTAGGCTTTTTATGAGCGGCCCGCTCCTGTCGATGGTCTGGCTTGGCTCCCTGGCCTGACCCTGAAAGGGCACTTTGGTGTGATAGTGGGGCTCTTGCTCCTCATTGTCCTCTTTAGTGTCCTGATCAATGCCTGACTGCAGCCTGATGTGCTGCACTTCAGCATCACTGAAAGACACTGATGATGTTAGCTGGGGCCTAACAGATGTGATGTGTGACGAATTCCCTTTTAATATGGAGGTGTATGGGTAGGTGGACTTCCTTTCAGCAACTTCACTCTGCTCAGATGATTTCCTGCTAATGGATTCAGAGTTTCTTACTGATTCATATGAGTTGCGTTCTGATGGAGGCTGAGCTGACTCTCGAGTAGAGCGGGGAGATGAGGATCTCTCTGATGTTTTTCTCTGATAATTTGAGCGTGGAGGATGGGTTGTGTCATTCCGGACCCGACACACAATGACGCTCCTTGTCTGGATGTCGTTCTCGTCCCCTTCTGAGAACGAAAGCCTTTTTCTAGACACACAGTAGGATGCATGTGGCCGTGTCGACACAATGTTGGTGAGGAAAGGGATGCCAAGGCTGTAGCCCAGCTCTTGAATGGCCGCCAGGCTCCCTTTGTCAACAAAAAGTGAGGAGGAGTAAATGTAGTTCAGAACTATCTCGAAGGCGTCAGGCTCACAAAAGTCCAGGTTTACAACTCTCAGTGACTCTGCGTCCGTCCGTGTGAATAGGGACTGGAAATACTCACTGCTGGCAGCCAGAACACTCTTGTGAGCCTGGTACCTCTGGTCCGCCACAACCAGGACAACATCACACATCTGCCCCCTCAGGCGCTGCTCATTCAAAACCCCTAACACTGAGAGGGCATGGGAGGGATTGCTGTAATGCATTAGGCTCTCCATGGCTGAAAGACAAGAGGATTACATTTTAATGCAGGAATGTAAATACAAAAGGTTATCACTAAGTGTGCACAAAGTTAGTCATAGAGACGTGCATGAACAGGCACACATACAATAACAGCCAACCACAGCTCAGGTTCCTGCCCTATTGTACTCTTATTAATATATGAATGTGTCTATTGGCCTTGTTATTTATTATGCCACAATACCATCAGTGTCATAAATAATAGACTCTGAACAGAATCTTTTAATTCTTTTATCCCAGTATATGATGTAGCCTTTTATTATAGTTAATCTATATATATATATATGCTAACATGTAAAATATGAGGGATTGGATTAATAATTGGTAAAATATAACATCAAACAAAGATGAGTGTCTAGAACAAAATCAATACACATTTTTAGCCTCTAAACAGTACATACCATTCCACCACAAGTCTTGTTGAATTTTTTAATAAACTAAACTAGACAGATCACTCTTCTAACGGAACAACACTTTCATTTAATTGTAGAATTCTTGAAAAAGATACAGAAAATGCTTTATTTTTTTTTACATTTAAGCAATAACTTGACTTTTTAATTATTCCAGTTCTTATAATTTACAAGATATCAGCTGCGACCTGGAGGCCGCTAGAAGCCTTTAAATTAAATGGCATTTGGATGGATCTTTTCAGTTTTATATTCCTTCAGTTTAGACATTGCTTGGCAGTGTTATCTAAGAATCTTGCTTAACACGTTTGTGAACTATGCAGAAACAACAGCTTTAAGGCACAGCAATAATCTTTATGATAATGTACAGTATAATAATTACTGTCACTTATAGCTGCAAAAGTTAGTTGATTTAACAATTAGTTGTTCCAAAAGAAGAAAATTAAATATATTGATAATTGATTGACCGATAATGAAAATAGCCGCTGATTGCAGGTTAACCTTTGTAAGTTAAACCTTTTTATTTACCACAACATAGTACACACTAATACAGAAGGACATAGACAGTTTATGGACATTACATCATGTTGTTAGTCAGAAGGTATGGAAATACAGCTCTGTCAAGTCACCTTCAGCGACACAGACTAATGCAGGAAGTTTCAAAAGTTTGCTTTTAAAATAAAGGCTTTCCCTTACAGAATGTGTACTGAGCAGTGGTGGCCCGCCTCAGCAGAATTAAAGATACTCCACTTACATTGTAAAAATGTTTTTTTACACTTCTATGAAATAAAACATTAGCTTTCAAAGAAAAGGGCAGAGGTGGTGGTGTCTGCAGGCTGCATTCAGCCCCAACAACCTCCACCAATAAGATATTACAGCCAGCATGTAGGCTGAGGCGCAAAACAAAGCTTTGCTAAAGCATCACTCACACACCAAGCTCATTGCTGTGAGCACGTAGTAACAACAACAGGTAACTCATATGAAAATATCACATTACATTGTCATCCACTCCTTTCTTCTCTCACCTGTGCTATAGTAACTACTAGACATCAAGGGGACAGAGATACAGAGATTTTAGTAAGAAAATTAACCCGAAACAATAAAAGCAAAATAGGATTTTCAAACATGGGGGGGTGAATGATGGCCTTGGAGGTACATGTAGCAAGACCTAATGGAGTCTAATAACCCAGTTTGTGTGCCATTGATTTAGTGAGGTGTGGATCAACTGTATAGTCATTAGGAGGTCTGTATTGTGTGCTGCTGTAAGACACTACCTTAGTTTAAACTAGGTAGCTAATGACCTGGCAACTGAGTGTATTTACATTATCCAGTAATAAGACATATATTTTATTTGTTTACATTATTCTCATATATGTACATGCCAATCACTATGTGACACATAGCATTGTGTGAAAGGCCTATTAGTTGCATTGGAGTTAGCTTTAATAAATAGAGAACAGCTGCATTTCCAGCTATCTGAAGGGTCTAAGTCTTTCACAATCCTAGTTTTCTCTAAAATAATTCACATTGCTCCTCGAAGCGTTTATTTTGAAAATTGTGACCGGAAGGCATGTTACTTATGTTGACGTTATTGACACTTGCAATAATAGGTACATGGGCAGAAGCTTCATTCATTCATCAAAAACAAAGAAGCGCTCGGTTGTCTCTTCATCCAAACTTGTAGCCCCCGTAAAGAGAACAGCAGGGAACATCCAGCCGTGTGTGTTCGCTATGAGGAAGTCGAGCGAGGCTTTCAGCATTAGATCATCCGTGAGACGTGGCTCAGTCTCTCGTGACAGATAACTTCTCCAACCGAGGCGCCGCTTTCACTTTATTATTTAGTCACGCGTTTCTCTTCTTTTTTTGTGGGTAAATGGCGAAAGACCCGAGGCTTTCAACGGTTCTACCAAAGCAAAAGGGGAAAAGTTGAGCGCGTTTCAATGGACTCCGCCACGGTAATCCCGGAATGAAAACACACAGTCGGTGCACACCGAGAAGCTGTTGGAGTGTGGGGGAGTGAAGTGTACCCGCTACCCCCGGTGGAAGTGCTGGTTGTTTCTTTTTACTGAAGCGGTCCCACCCGGCCTGACACGGCGCGGTTGCTGTCTGCAAAACAGGTTGTAGCTAGTCGGGTTTTACAGCAGCCCAATCCCCCTTTCGAGTTACGTCAGGGAGGAAAAGGAAAACGCTTCTCCTCAACAGCACTCTAGCAACTATGTTTCCGCCTCCCTGCTCATTGTGTCTGCCGTCAAGTTTGGTAGTCCGTCTACACTTACCCTGGCCGTCGTCAGTACGCGCTTTCCTCCACACAGCCGGGACTTTATTCACTGTTGTGTAGATTTCTGCGCGCTAGTCGTGATTCCATCCATCTTGAATTTGACGTCATCCCACACCAGGGATGAGGTCATCGCAAAGAACGCTCGTCACGTGCACTACGCTCCGATAGGCTGGTAAAGGAGCAGGAGGCGGGACCAACGGAAGACTTGACACTGAGGCTAATTTAAAGGGATAGGTCATATTTTTCCTTTAAGCTGTCAATGTTTCTGTCTTTTGCAGTCTTTGTTTAATTTTTTTATTATGACCTAAGGTTATTAACTGAAATTACACTCCATATTGTAATTGTAGTTTTATTGTATTTTAAGTGTAGTATAGTTTATAGTAGGTTTGTAGCTCTATTTAGTCAGGTGTTGCAAGGGTGGAGACTTTAGTTCTTATTCTTTATCTCTTTGTTAATTTTAATGTAACTGAAGAAAAAAAACACAATTTGTCACTTTGTGTATACATTTCAAATAGCCACTTTTTGATTTGAGCAAATAAAAAGGTATTTTTAAAGGCTGTTTTATGCATCCAATGACAGAAGAGATTGTCTATGGTAGGTTTAGACCGTGAGCTGCATTTAGAATATGCATGTAACTGCATGCCCCCGTAACCCCAATGAAACTAATTAGGCCCATGAGTGAAAGGAAATCACTACAGCGTAGCAGTAGGCTTGTGTCATTACTGGCATCCAGTGGGGACTTGTTGCTATGTTTATTTTGCCTACAGAAAGCCTTGTCAGATACATTACCTGGCAACTGTCTCGTGACTCAGGTGTGGCACTGGTTGTGAAATAACTATATTTTCATCAAGTGCATTAAATTTGGCATGACAGCATGTTGCATTGAGCTGATGATTTTTATTTTGTGGCGTAACTGTATTTGACCATAGTTGACTCAGCCTGCAGCCCTGCACCTCCCCACATCCATATGCTCCAGTGCGTCAGCATGTAACCACTCATTATCACTTAATGACCGTGGAAAGTTTAATCAGGAACATTTTCACACCTCATTACTATAAAAGGAGCACAATTACTCTGCATGCAATTATTTAAAAGAATACAGAGGACCTTTCATCCAACATGAATGTGTGTATGTATGTCATAATGTCAATGTCTTTTTTTATTTTTAAAACATATCTTTGAAAGCCAAAGTATCTCACTGTTTCTTCATATAATGAGAATGAAGGCATGTTGGGAAAAGGCAGGGAACTTCTTATTCCTCCTTACTTGACACTAATGGCTGACACAGGTTGTTAATGCCAGCAGCATAGCAGGCACTGCCATGGTTACCTGTGTTGAAACCAAGTCATTAGGGATTTTGATTCCTATCCCTCATCTCTCTCACTGGCATCATAAACATGTTTACTGGCCCTGCCACTGCCACAGAATGAGTAAAATGACAACAACTATCATACAAAAATGAAAGCGAGGCCTCAGCTTCCTTCTTGAAAATCATGTGAATCAGAGGCCTTTCTCCTTTCTCTACCACACTGACTCACAAGCTTGTCACGTTGCCTTATATGTTACGTTATAGCAGTGCAAGGAATCAAATTGTCTGAATATTGTAATATTCTTGTAATGTCAGTACACTGACGAATGTAACTCAGTATTTTTACATAAATCTAATATTTACAGCACCTGCCATGATTTTGTGATCCATCAGGGACTGATGGTGCAAACGAGGGGAGGAGAAAGACAGAGCCACAGAGGATTTGGTCTTTGAGCACACCCTGAACAGTCAGTTAGCAACATCTCAAAGAGAAACATGGATGTACAATGTGGTCGTTAAACGTGTGGTTGAGATTTTGATCTGTGAAAAATGACTTGGATGCTCGCCATCTCGGTGGCCGCGGCCCTACTGGCTCTCTGTGAAGGAGAAAACACTGTACATGAAGGTAGGCCGCTACACAGATGATGGATTAACATGAAACTGAAGAATTGTCACAACAGAATATGGCATTTATGATGCAGATTTACACTTCTTGCTTTGCCTGCTTTCATTTGTTTTTAACAGATGTATTTTACTATTTGATGTCATTATGCAGCTAGAGACTACCAAGAGAACTTAAACAACAGTAAAATGTACACATTTTGTTCCAGGAAACAGCCTGTCTACATCTGGCTACCATCTATGTATCCGCAATGAGACAAGGATTGTGTCTATACTGACGATGCACAAGGTCCCCTATACCACGACGAAGCCTTGTGGCGGCTGGCTTCTCTGGACGACATGTACAGTCACACTTTACAGGATGATCTATCAGACAGAGTACAGGACAGTGATGGAGCAGGTGACCAGGTGCTGCGATGGCTACGTTCAAGTCGGTCATTACTGTGCCCTGCGTGAGTGTACTGCACATCATTTTTCCAGACAGAAGAGCACATATAGTTCTGTTTGTTGTTAGATTTCAAGTGTCTTTGTGCAAGTGTTCATAGAATTTGATGATATACCATCACACGCTGTAGACTGACAAGTCATCCGCATGACCTTTCAGTGTGTGGTGCTGTGTGCAAGACACCAGATGGAAGCACAGAAACCGCACTGCTACAAATATCTCGCTGCTAATATATGGCCTGTAACATGTTATTTCCTTTTGAACGAAGCTGTAAACAGGAGTGGGGAGTTCACTGCCAAGCCAGGATCCTGTCCAACTGCAGATGGATTGCATCCCGGATCTGAGGACTGTGAGTGGGACATGGACTGCCCAGGCTGGCAAAAATGCTGCCAGAAATTGGATCACTCTGTCTGCCGTCAACCTGCAAGTTAGTGTATATCCTGATTGTTTTTAATTAAGTATGCAACTAGGGTTTCTTGAGTAAAGTCACATGTTCTTATTAAAGGTTTCATGCAAAACCAGTAAAAGAGACTTTCCCACTGGTTTCTAGTTTCAGTGCTGTGAGTCAAGGGAATGTTGTTTGTCATGTTCAGAGTAATGAAACATCACATTTGAAGTGAGCCTATGTAACCTACGCTGTGCAACTGTGGCTACGGGTGACAATAACAGGATAATGGTAAAATGTAATGTAAGAATAGCAGAAGTAGAGAAGAGTCAGATTAGTGACCTGACTCAGTAATGTCAGTTGCACAACAATATCTATCTTGAGTTTTCTAACATTAGCAAACAACCATTATAAGTTCCTGGTCATACCAAACCTAGTATGGTTGTAACAACAAAAATTAAAATTTGTAAATTGAATTAAGACACGTTTTATTGCTAACATGAGGTCTGTGTTATTTTATGTTCAAAAGTTATATGGTGTGACTTTATAACAGCAAGGTTCTTCAAAAACAAGTCCCAATTATTTGGTATATTCCACAATGTGTACCATTGTCACTGGAACAATTTTCTACTGAAGAAATAGTCCCAGTGAAAACTGTTGAGAGCAGGAGAGTTTGTGGTTTCTTACCTTGAAAGTAACTTCACTGATTTTTCTAAATGTCACTGGTCAAAACCAGGGGAAATCAATCCAGACGTTACTGCATGCTAGGGACTGTATCAAAATTATTAGGTGGGTATAGAGGAGCAACAGAAGGAAAAGGTTATGTGTATTTTCTTTGTGCCGAAGAGAAGGAAGTCTGATATTTTGGGAAGAACTGGTGATGGGTTTTATATATATACATATATATGTGTACATATACTTCAACCATCCTTAACTGCACAGAGCTGTGCCCGGTTCATTTAGTCCCTCTCACAATAATAATAATAATAACTGTTAGTGGAATGTTTGGGGCACACTATTCTATGATTGCCATAATTTAAAATGTAAAATTAGGATGTGGATAAAATATAAAAAGCAAGCAATACTGTTAAATTGGTACATCTTGTTGTATCATAAACAGTTAAGAAGCTGTGGTGGCTTTAAGGTTAATAAAGCATACAAAGTATGATCTTGGCTTTCTGTAAGGTTTTATTCAAGTCAACCATGAATGGTCTCAACTGTCTCCCACTCTCATATGTGAAAGTCCA